AATTTCTTGGGATACTTTCCTAGAAGTGGGATCACTGGGTCAAATCGGAGTTCCATTTTTAATTTTTTTATGAAACTCCATGCTGTTTTACACAGTGGCTGCAGCTGTCTACATTCCCACTAGGGTTCCCTTTTCTCCACATCCTGCCAATGTTTGTCAATTGTTGATTATTAATGATAACCATTCTGACAGATGTGAGGTGACACCTCATTTAATTTAAAATACATATACTATTACACACATACAACAACAACGAAAACCTAAAATAGAATTACCACTTCTTGAAGAAGCCCCTGTTCGCCTTGGTTTCACAATTCTCTCCCTAACCTTCAAGTATATTTATGGCTTGAGAAGTACAAGTTGAACCCTTTTTTATTACAAACTATCTTCCATTCTTCAATACTCAGTAGAGCAATTGTAAAGTATGACTGAAGGTGGTCTTTTAATGGCAAACAGAATCATATGCATATCAAGTCTTATAAGGTAGTACTTTTACTAAAGATTATGTTATTTTTAATGCTAAAACCTTTAAATCACATTTTCCTAGTATTGGAAACCATTAAAATAATTGAAAAGTGTAATTATTTTATTTGCTGTTGCAGCTTGCTTTATGCTATACATTTACTGCTGTCTTTGGGGAGCTCTATCCTGACACAGCTCCCGGTGCTTTAAAAACAGGTTCTATTGATGAACAGTTGAAGGCATGTTGAGTATCCAACTGAATTATTAGGACTAGGTGAAAAGGTTCCTGTCCAGAGGATGCCAATTTGGCCCCAAGAGGTCAACTTTTCTGACAGTTTCTGTACAAAGCAGGGATTACTGAGTAACTGTTCCTACTGAAGGTGAGGGGAGGCGGTGTACAGAGAGTTAACAAGAAGAACCCCAAGTAATACAAAATGTCCAGGAAGCAGGGAAAACTGAAAGGCACACAGAGCGCAAAACATTATTTCTGCCTGATGATTATTTCTTATTTGGCAAAAATAAAAATAAAAGGGAGGAATTGCGGGGGGCATGGAACTAAAATGTGCTAGATAGATGCCAACGTTGAGGCATGATAGAGGCAAAACTGGAAGATTTTGCTCATCTCATGATAGGAACACCTGTATGTCAATTTTAATGGTAATTATTCTGTTGAGAAATACAGTACATGTTAAATGTACCGAGAAGTCATTCAGTCATACCTCGCTCATTTTGGTCTATCTAGTTACCAAGCATTTTACCTTGCACAGAGTTGGGGATTCATTAGTCATTCAGGTAGCATACACAGCATTTACTGAACTCCTGCTGTTTTCGGGTGATGAAGATACAACGGTGAAGAAACAAAGCCCCTCACGAAGCTTGCATTCTGGTATCTCCAGGATGGTTGCATTCTCTGGCTGCAACCCAAGGAATCAGTGATATAAAGTATGGTTATCAAATGCTCAGACACTGGAGCCAGATGGCCTGCGTTTGAGTGTGCTCTGCCATTTACTAACTGTGTGAATCTGGGCAAGTTTCTTAACCATTCTGGGCCCCAGACTTTTCATCAATGAAACTGGAATATAATAAGGTAACTTACGTGCTCACATATATCTGTATATGTGTTAATGTATATATATTAATGTAAGTGCTCAGATCAATGTTTGGCACTAATAGGCACCATATAAGTGTCAGATATTTTTCTTATATAGAGAAATTGATCTAAATTTAATCATGGGTAAAGAGTCCTTTATTACAGAGAAAATGATATAGACAAGATATGTCAAGATAATAAAACTTGATGTACTAATGTACCTCGATGGATTATTGGTATTTGCATTATTTGTTTAAAGAAATCAAGAGAGAGCATAACTCAGTGGTGATATATCTCTGGCTCTCAATTTCCTCAGCTGTGAAGAAGAAGTGGTAAAAGATTTCCAAGATAAAAGCTCCGTGAGAATTAAAAGAAATGATGTGTGCAAAGTGCTCAGCACAGGCCTAGCAGAGAGTGAACATTTATTAAACAGTGGCTGGTGGCTATTAAAGTTTAACCTGATTATTTTAAATTGACATCATCTATTTAGATAGTTTCTGCCATTGAATTTCAACTCAAAAAGGACTTATGAAAATCTTCCATGAGAGCACTTCTGAAAATCCTTAAACATTGGTACATAGGGAAAAACAACAATCACTGCAGTGCTTAATCAAATTGTGTATGCCAAAGGTAAATATTGCTCCATCAAAAGGGGATCCTCCTAATAATTTTCCTCAGTCAGTAGATCCCAGTAGTGTCAAATGTAACTAAGTTGCCATAAACCTGTTCATGAATTTCATCATGATATGTTTTCAGTATTATTTATTGCTACATTTTTGTATTTTTGCATCTGTGTTCATAAGTAAAATACAATTTTTTTAGCTTTTCATATCTTCTTTTGTCTTCAAGATAAGAATTGGCTTCATATAATGAGTTAAGCTTCTTTTTCATTTTCTAGAATAATTTTTTAAGTGACAGCAGTATTCTCTGCTCATTGAATTGTTGATATCACTCTGGCAAAATGATCTTGCTCTAGTTTGTTTTTAGTTAGCATTTATGAATTCCATTTCTTTGACTGTTATTTGTTTAATCATAGTTTCTGATTAGAATTGGCATTTTTCTATTTGTGCAGAAACACAACCATTTATTTAATCAGTTTTTCAAATTTATTACCATAAAATTACTTCAAATAGTCATTTTTATTTTTTATGATAAACCAATATTATTTACTCTTTTTTGATATTTAATTTTCTTTTTCTCTTCTTGATTATTACACTTACCTAAAGCTTACCTTAATATTTTCCAGTTTTATGAAATTATAATTGACATATAAAATAGTATTAGCTTAAGTTGTACAACAAATAACTTAAAATACGTATGTATTGTGAAATTATTACCACAATAAGTTTAGTTAACATTCATCATCTCACATAATTATATGTGATATTAATTCTCTCAAATCTCTGCTCTCAATTTCAATAATTTCTATCCACACCTTAATTCTTTATTTCTTATTTCTTTGTACCATTGTTGAGTACAGATTGTTGAGTGACCAATTTATTAATTCATTTCCTGAAAACTGTGCAAATCTATTCATATCCTTGTAAATACTGTTTTAACTACATATTATAAAACTTGCCAAGTGGTACCATCAATGTCATTTAGTTCTAAAGAGTTGAGATTTTCTTCATATTCATTTTGATTTTCTCTGTCACTCAATGGTTAATTACATATATAGAATATACACTTTTGTTTTCATTTGTTAATGACTTCATAGGTATGAAGCTAATTCTGACTGTTATTTGTCTCAGTCTCTGATTCCAATAATTGTCTTCTAGTGGTGTGTCTAGGATAAAATATCCAGAATCTTTGGACTTACAAAATCAAGCTTTGCCATATAGAAAATATCATGGGGTTTAAAAAAACTATATATTAAAATAGGATTTTTTTAAGTGTCCACATAAATTTAGGTATTTAAATAAGAACAATTTCTCCCTTTTTCTTTAAGTAAACAACTAACGTTTCTATACTAGTTTTTAATCAAGATTTTAAAATATTTTAAAGTATTTGAAATAGAAGGACCATATCATTTTGTTATGAAGAATAATGAGTTTTAGAGATAGTTTTGTAAACCTTTGTGTTTATATTCATTCATAAGGAGCCATCAATGGCAAGGAGGAAAAATCTTGACCAGAATACTATTTAAAAAATTAAAAGCCTTGATTCACATTTTTAACTGCAATCTGCTAAAATCCATAAGATCAATACTGTTCGCCATGAAATTTAATTCTTTCCTTTTGATAATTAATGTATTATTTTTAAATTTATTTTTATTTTGGAAACTATTACAGATGCCCCCCCCCCCTTGACCCCTTTCATCTCCTTCCATTGCCTTCCATGCCTTCCCTGCACTGTGGTCTGTCCATAGGCCGTGCATCAACACATATAAGTTCATTGGTTAGTCCTTGCCCTGCCCCCATTCTCCCTCTGAAATACATCAGTCTATTGTTTGCTTCAATGTCTCTGGGTCTTCCTTGTTTATCAATTTATTTTGTTCATTAGATTCCACATATAAGCAGTATAATGTGATACTTGTCTTTCTCTGACTGGCTTATTTTGTTTAAGCCTCTCCATAATAATATCATTTTAATGCTATGAAAAACCATTTTGAGTGGCCCATCCCACATAAGTGGGAATGTTGTTCTAATGCCAATAGGGCATTTGATTATCACATCCTCGTAGATATTGGGAATAGCAAGAAATTATTAAATGCAAACAATAAAAAGGGTAAGAACACTTTTAAGTTAAATAATGAGGGGTTTTTATTTACCCAATTTTTGCATTAGTGCATTTACTAAAAAAAGAAAAAATAGATATCAGATTAAGAGTTGCCATTTTCTACAGGATGACTATCCTGTTGCATTTTTAACAGTGAATATAAACTTATACCAAAAAATACAAAAACCTTTTCCTTTTAAAAGTTGTTTTTTATTTTTTACCAAATTTCATCTGAATTACCATCTCAAAAAGTACCCTAGCAAATAAATGATTATATCAACTGGGATGTTTTCACAAGTCTGGCCTGGTTTCCGAATATTAAAACTTTTAGCCATAGCTTTCATGATGGTAATCTGTCGTGCAGTGTTCAGCAAGCAAATAAAAATATAGCAAGTAAGGATGACATTGAAAAAATAAAATGTGACTGGCTTGAAGATACATGGTACATGGTACATGTCTGCCGAATTCTGACTTGTTTGTAACACTTAGGGAAAACTTCCTTTTAAAAGCAGGTTTTTTGTTTTGTGTTTGTTTGTTTGTTTTTTGCAAAAATGAAAGCTCTATTTCTCTCAGTGGTTTGATAACACTAAAAAGGAAAATTCAGTTGACTCTGCGATTAAATGTATTTTAGGATTTGCAACATGTTCATCTCAAGTTACATTTATGATTAATTCTACATTCCCTACACCTACCTACCCCGCTTTCTCTTTCTGTTTCATAGAAAAAAATTATGACATCAACATCCAAAGGAATTCTCCGCCCATTTTTAATCGTCTGCTTAGTCCTGGGCCTCTTTATATCATGCCTTCTCATTTACATCAAGCCCACCAACAGCTGGATCTTCAGCCCGATGGAGTCCACCAGCTCTGTGCTGAAAATGAAAAATTTCTTCACCTCCAAAACTGATGATTTTAATGAAACGACTATTCTGATTTGGGTGTGGCCGTTCGGGCAGACCTTCGACCTCACCTCCTGCCAGACGATGTTCAACATCCAGGGATGCCACCTCACCACAGACCGTTCTCTGTACAACAAGTCCCACGCGGTTCTGATCCATCACCGGGACATCAGCTGGGACCTGACGAATTTACCTCAGCAGGCCAGGCCGCCCTTCCAGAAGTGGATCTGGATGAATCTGGAATCACCCACTCACACGCCCCAGAAGAATGGCATCGAGCACCTGTTCAATCTCACTCTGACTTACCGCCGCGACTCAGACATCCAAGTGCCTTATGGCCTGTTGACGGTGAGCACAAGCCCCTTCGTGTTCGAAGTGCCAAGCAAAGAGAAGTTGGTGTGCTGGGTTGTCAGTAACTGGAACCCCGAGCACGCCAGGGTCAAGTATTACAATGAGCTGAGCAAAAGCATTGAGATCCACACCTATGGGCAAGCGTTCGGGGAGTATCTGAATAGTAAAAATTTGATCCCTACCATATCTACTTGTAAATTTTATCTCTCCTTCGAAAACTCGATCCACAAAGATTACATCACAGAAAAGCTCTACAATGCTCTTCTGGCTGGCTCAGTGCCTATTGTCCTGGGCCCATCTAGGGAAAACTATGAAAATTATATTCCAGCAGATTCGTTCATTCATGTGGAAGATTTTAACTCTCCAAGCGAGCTAGCAAAGCATCTGAAGGAAGTTGACAAAAACAATAAGTTGTACCTTAGTTACTTTAACTGGAAGAAAGATTTCACGGTAAATCTTCCGCGGTTTTGGGAATCGCACGCGTGCTTGGCTTGTGATCATGTGAAAAGGCATCAAGAATATAAGTCTGTTGGTAATTTAGAGAAATGGTTTTGGCATTAGAGTTTTCCAACATTAGCACACCTGGCAAATTCTTTCGATGAAATATCATAGAAGTTTAGAGAATGAAAAGGGGGATGAGACATTCTGCTTTTCTGTCACAATTTATTTTGATCACTCTCGGGTAACGTATATTTTGATGAAGATTTTTAACAGTTCAGCATTAGCAATCACTCCATTTGGATTTAAATTATCCTATACATACCTAATTATGTGCATTGAAAAAAATAATTTATTCTTCACTATCATTTATAAACATTGTTTTTTCACACTTTTTGTAGTTGTCAGTAATGTAAGTTTGTGGTACAATTACCGTTTGTATATTGATCATCTGTTTAATCTATTTGAAATGAAAATGAAATGAACATCTTAAAACATGAAATATTTTTCACTAAATATTATAACCTCTAGTTCCAAGTTTGCATAATATAACAAATGAAAAGTATTTGTAATTGAATTCTAACCTCTCTGACTTCTGAGTTGAACAAAGTGTGTAACTGTCGCTATTTGATCTATTTTTACCTGTTTACCATGTTTTCGAAGACAGAAATATTCATGTAGTGAAGAAGAAACATAGTGAAGCAAAACTGTTCTATTCAGAAAACTATTTGATTTCCCATATACTTTCGTGAAGCAGATTTGCAAATGCAGCTACTATTCTCATGATCTTAAGTTAAATTATTGAAGTATTTTTAAATATGTATTTTGGGGGATTTTTAGTGTTATTAGAATTATTTCCTAGAAAATAACTTAAAAAATCTAAGACAGTTCTCTTTTTTATCCTGATAACACATTATTATAATAAAAATAATTTATTCAAATAACAGAAGGATGGGTATAGATCGCATCACATTTCTAATTGGCACATAGATGTACAATTTTAATAACATACCAATTAAAATATTTTTTCTAGCCCCACTATTTAAAAGTTTATTTTAGCATATAGACAAATAAATAAGCATAACATTTGACAAACTTTTGTCCTATCATTTAAAAGAACCTAAATAAAATGAACATCAAGGAGTTAAATTTAACATGTGAAACATAACAAAGTGAGGTTTTATAAAATCTCAATGCATATTTATTGAATGAATAAATAAATGCCATTGACCATCAAGGGAATATTTTACTACTGTCAATGAAATGACAGTTGTAGCCTAGAGGTACCCACTGGTGATGATGTTGTACATTTCTCTTTAGTAATTGTTTATACTTTAGCACATGGTAAGGCCCTCAGGGCTTTACCAAACCAAAATGAGTTTGTCATTACACTAAGTTTTTGGAGAATTCACTCGTGAACTTAGTTGCTGTACAGCATTTCTCCACCCTTAGGTTAAGGGCTAGCTAGAAATAAGCATAGAACAGCAGGTGAGAAAAGTTGGATTGCTAAGGATTCTTCAGAAAAGTAGTCCCCAAAAGAACTTTATTCCATTCTTGGCAAAAACTCAAAAGACTTAGAATGTCCTGATAAGATCTGTTTGATTCTACTTGTGACTAATTCTAATAGTCCTATTACATGTGGCATCAGTATGTACAACTCAATCCCACAATCTTCTACATCAAACTAAAGAGAAAGGGGCGAATTTCAATTCAGTAAAAAAGAGGCGCCAACTGTTTCTAATAGGACTATCACGGGAGGGAACGAGCTCTCTAGAGCACTAGAAGAATTTGAGCAGAGGAAGTGTCCTGTGTTGATGGAGGATTGTTTGGTCCTCAGAATAATTTATTTACCCCTGATTGAATAGGCATGCTGTGTCAGGCAATGCCACAAGCAGGGATAAAGATGAACAAGGAACTATCACTGTCTTGAAGTAGCTTATAATTAAGTGGAGAGATACAGAAAGCCTTCCTCGGATTCTCAATGGAGTTTGCATGGATCACTGCTGATTTAACGAGAATAGGAAAGCAAATTTCCCCGATTGTTTCCGAGCTGCAGATTTGTTTACTCATGTGACCCAATGGAGATTTCCTCTGCAGAATTTCTTCTAACCACACTGGCTCAAGAAATGGTGTGTCTGTATGGCCCCCCTCCTATTAGATAAGGGAAGATTTCCACCCATATTTATTTTATTTTGTTAAAACAGTCATGTTCATTCATTTACATTTACTTTGTTATCTTTTTGTCCTATGAAAAGTATAGGGACAGAAAGAGAATTTATTACAAGCAAGTTTAGAAAGTACCTACTTTCTTCAAAAGCTGAACAATCATGACAAGCCACATTTGCTGTGGCAGATGCCCAGATTTTAATAAACTGAGAAACCTGCATACATTTCCTATATTGTCAACTATGAATTTAGACTATGACTGTAATCACATGCTGATAATATGACTCAAGCCAAGGCAATAATACTAATTGATTAACTAGAGCATCTCTATTTTGGAAACCCATTACCAAGTCTGAGAACAAGTTTTCTGAATTTGAAGTGCCAAAATAAATGAGTCAATTGGACCCTTCAGTTCTGGGTCCATTGATCTGTGAGTTTTAGGGCTGGAATTATAACAATGTTTACAAAGTAATCCCTTTATTTCACCTATGTGTTAACTAGATACAGAGATAATATTTATTCAAGACATATGTATACACATACCCAGCAGGTGTGGCCCAGTGGTTGTGCTTCGACCTATGAGCTAGGAGGTCCTGGTTCTATTCCCAAGATTGGGGCATATGCTCAGGCTGTGGGCTCGATTCCCGGGTCCCAGTGTGGGGCATGCAAGAGGCAACTGATCAATGATTATTTCTCATCATTGATGTTTCTATCTCTCTCTCTCCTCCTCTCCCTTCAATAAAAATTTATTATTTAAAAATGCACACACACACATCACAGATAGTGACATAGCCATGGTTAGAATTGAAAAGCCTGTATTTTTAAATCCTATGCTCCTATTTATATTATTTTCACTTTATCATAGAAGTTTGCCTCCATTCCTAAAAAATGTGAATGTCTACATGGTATCATTAGGGCCTATAGAATGATACACTCTATGTGCAAGCACTTTGACTTTTGAAAAAGTATAAGTAAAAAAAAAAACATTGAACTTGTTAGCAATCTTTCTGGTTTAAATATTTTAGGAGTTGAGCTTCAGCAAAAAGACTTGGGCTGTCATTACATTTTAAATCAAATGCATTCCTTAAGATAATGTGTAGTCCTCAGCACTGTTTGTAAATCCTGCAGACAGCAAAATTCTATTTAAGGATATCTCATGGTAAATGATATGGATTTGATGAAATTGACTTGCTGCTGATGATTATAAAAGCAATTATGTTAGGGGATAGTTGTGGACATAAAAAAAAGAATCTACCATTTAAAAAATTGTATTTCAAAATACCAAAAATCTATTACCTTCAATGCTATGATTATTTAAATATTAATTATTGTAGGCCTTAATAGTAAAAGCATATATTAATTTTATAGGCCTTATTAGTAGTAAGGATATATAATGAATTCTCTATATCAAGCAGTAATGATACTCTGAAGAAGAAAAAAACATGGCAATCATATTTTATGACAACCATAAATTTGAAAATATGAAGTAGAAACTGGTAAAAATCATCTTACTGGAAAATCAATATCAGTTACAATTTTTATATATTTACCAAATAAATCCTGATAGGCCTAGAATGTCCCGAAATGTTTTCTATTGTGAGGGCTTAGAAGGCTCAGAGTATTTGAGGTTTAAAGTGACAGACTATTTAGAAACTATTTGCTGAGCCTTTAAAGTCCTGCCTCCAATTGGAAGTTAAATATGGAAAAAAATAAGAAACAATATTATTGAAATCTTTTTGCTTAGCCTATTTGCAAATTAGATTCCATGAGTCTTAAGATAATCTACCTAGAAAATGTCTTTGTATGAATTAATATTACTAAAGCAAGTTTAGATTCTTACATTATGACTTTTTGCTTAAATATATCTTTGAATTCCCCTGAATACTATATCATTTAAACTTCTTAACAAATTAATTATAACCAGGCTGCTAACTATAATAAACTTCAGCACCTAAAAGACAAGACGGTGTCTAACAGAGGAGGATCTCAGCAAATACTGTTGAAAGAACAAAAACATTGTATTCATGAACAATATTTTTATGAGCTCCAGCTTATTGATGTCAGGTAGAGGTGATATTTTACATTTTTCATGCGTCAATGTGCTGCTGGATGCAAAGGAAGGCATTTTTTTTTTGTTGTTCTTCCAGTTTTGCAGCATTCCAAGACCCCAAAAGAAGTAACATTTCAGAAAGGTTATCAAGGATTTGCAACATGTAAACACTCTTCAAATGTCAACATACCAACTGTTTCTAATAGGAAAGACAATTAGTATTTAAGGGGAATTTAAAGTGCAAGCACTGTGAAGGGCACAGTATTTATTACCAGACTCTACCAGAAAATAGTTTACTTTCTCCCTAACCACAGTCCTTTGTATTGTAAACGTTGGTTAAGGTGCTTTTCAGGGGGTGTGTGTGTGTGTAGTGTGTGTGTGTGTTTCCAATGATAAGCTCTACTACTATCTGAAGTGCTCTCCTCAGTAATTCATATTGAATGCAACCATATTCATAAGCATTATCTAGAGCAGTTAACAGAACATAAATGATAGCCTGATATCTTGATATATGAATAATGCTAGGCTGGGTTATTGGTTCAATAGATTATAATTTTGAGAAAGCCAATGAACCCCTCTGGACTTTGCTGATTGTAAGGTTCCTTCTGGCACTACTTCTCTCACCTAAAACCTACACTAATAAATTCAGTTATTTGCAAGTGAAATTTCAATGACCATCTCAAAATAATTTTTGGAGATAACTACTCCAAGCTGACTTTCCTTTCATTTCTCTGAATAGATATGTAAAGTATAAAACTGATCAGGTAAACTACTGTGTGGAAAGAACCTAGTCCAGTGCATGGACCATAGCAAGTGATCAATTAGCTAATTCTCCTCCTTTGACACCTTCTTCCCCTTATTTCTCTATCTAAGTCCTTCACAATTCATGCATGCCTTACTCACTGAG